CTAAGAACACACGGCGCAGGCAGGTCAATGCTGTCAATGAAGACCTTGCTGAAATCACAGCCTGGGGAACCAACAACCTAGTTGAATTCAACGCTACCAAAACTCAAGCCTGTATTTTCTCTAGAAAGGCGGATCTCAGTATGCCCGACATTGTAATGTCTGGCACCACCATCCCCACCAAGCCCACCATATCTATGCTCGGTATTTCCATCAGCAACACTCTTTCATGGGATAATCATGTCAGATCCATCGCAAAAGCTGCTTCACAAAAACTCGGATTCTTGTTCCGTGCGAAATGCTACTTTACACCTCAACAGCTCCTCATGATCTACAAAGCGCAGATACGGCCTGTTCTAGAATACTGTTCCCACATATGGGGTTCAGCACCGAAACATACGCTGATGCTCTTAGATTCCATCCAGAGAAGAGCCATCCGCCTGGTGGGTGACGCCACACTCACTCGCTCTTTGACATCATTGGAACACCGTAGAAAGGTCGGCGACCTTTCACTTTTCTATCGATACTTCCACGGGAAATGTTCTTCGGAAATCTCTGCTATCATCCCTTCACTAGCAATACCAGTCAGACGAACTAGACAAGCTCAGTCAGCACATCCCTTCGTTGTCAACCTCGAAAGATGCCGAACAGCACTTTATCAAAACTCCTTCATCCATAGAACGGCTGGGCTCTGGAATTCATTGCCTGTGGAAGTATTCCCAACAACATATAATCTCCAGAAGTTCAAAAAAAATTCCAATACCTACCTCCTATCCCTATCCTCCCTAGGAACGCACGATGTTCCTTGAACATTATAGGGATTCCCTCTCGTGCGCTCCAAGCGATAAAAAAAAAAAAAAAAAAATCTACCTTCTCAACTTGAAACTTAAAAATTATCACAGTTGCTTAAAGTTTCCTCCATTATGATACAAACATTTTTTTGTTCGTTTTGTTATATTTTTCACTGATTTCCGGATCATTTTCTGATTGTTTTTAATTCGCCGCGCTTGCCGGTCGTGGGTTAAATTCCCCGCGACTGCAGAAATTTTTCTAATGGCCCAAGAAAGTGTTTGGGATTACACGTTAAAAGGTGAGGCCACCGTCATTCCTTGCTCGCACAAGTCTCTCGAAGACTTCTGAGGGTTGCTCGAAAGGGGGAACCGAATGACTGATAAAAACATTTTACAACAACAATTCTGGACTTCAAGATCACCTGATTCGAATACCGTGGATTATCACCTGTGGGATTATCTTGAATCTGATGGAGTGTATTCTCCTGAGATCACTACCGAGGAGGAGCTACAGCTACGAAGAAGCATGCACAGGAATTAGGATCAAGAAATTGTTAGAATCAAAATGGAGGACACTTTGAGCAAATGTTATAATTTTCATGTTTCAAGTTGATATGGTAGATTTTTCATTATTTTTATTGTTCTAATATTTGAGGTAATAAAATTTTCTCAACAGTGATATATCATTATATCGATTGATTTGTACAGTTTCTTTCCACAAATACTCAATAGTAATTTTAAAAAACGTCAAATACGTGAAGGCACACTATTTATCCAGGTTATAATAGCATGCGAAAAAAAGTACACCATTCGATTCAGTTTTTGTGCCCTTTTCAATATGTAAGAGGATTTTGGAAATTCAAAAATACAGGGTGTTCTATTTGGGGTCGAGAAATATGATCAATTTTCATTAATCCGGACCTGGATTTTACCCGTGACTGATAGAAGGGTCACTTGGATAGAAGAAGGAAAACTTGTGTACCAAATTCATGAAGAATATACTGGTTGATTCGTGATAATTTTTGTTATTCGATTGGAAAAACTCAAATCATTCAATTTTTACCTATCCAAATGCATAATAACTCACTTTCAAAATCAGAAATTCTTCAGTGAAATAGCATGCGGAAAAATACAATGTACACTATTCGATTCATCTCTCTGATGTGCACTTTCCGAATATGTAAGTGTATTTGGGAGACTCGAAAATACAGGGTGTTCTTTTTGAGTTCCAGAAATATGATCAATTTTCGTTAATCCGGACCTGGATTCTTCTCGTGACCGATAGGTGTGCCACTTGAGTTGCAGGAGAAGGAATTGTGTACCAAATTCCAAAAGAATATACTGGGTGGCTCGTAGGTTATGTCCTCACAAACAATTGAGCAAAATTGATAAAACACCCTATATCTCGGATATAAAACTTGTGAGATCCTGCAAATATGGTATATTCAGACCCACCCCAGCCCTCCCCCCCTTCGGCCGCCAATGGACTCAGCTCTTTGAATGGTTGTTGCCCTCGGAAAACAGCTACAATCGTGGGATTGAATGAATCACCATCTATTCATAAGGGTGTTTCAATTTTCAGTATCAAAATTTCAGGAGATTATTTATCTGATCAAAGTAAGACTTTTTTGCTATGAACATAAATATCTAGAAACGCTTCTTTAATTTTCGAGATATTCAGATGATATTTGAAACAAATAGGTTCCGTTTCAGGATTCACATCATACAGTATTCCGAGTGATTGTAAGAATCCACCCAGACGGCACCAGATATTCCATTCCATAAATCTCCCTACCATATTTCTTTTGGAATATTGGGATAATCTGGGATAGTCTAGGATATTGAATATGCAAATGGAAATTCCTCAGATATTCATGCAGAATATGTCCATATGAATCTCTAGAATATATTCTAGTAATATTCCAGAGATTATCCAAGGATATAAATAAATGAATGTTCCTGGAATATGACAATAAACATATTCTTGAATAAAAAAATGTGACCCAAGATGGACTCGAACCCGTGACTTCCAGACTGTTATAACAACGCCTTAACCACTAGACCACTAATCGAATTTAACGATGTGTACATAACAATTTCTTGAAACACGTGGAGCCATCTGGTCAGGAGATTCGAAAGCTGATTTGGTTTTTCCAAATGGTACAAAAACATTGTTTTTTTTGTCTTGTATCAATATTATGTTTACATTTATTCAGTACAAACAATTTATTTCTATTCTCGAACACAGATAAGCACAAGTCAAAAATTAAAAGACTAGAAAAACTTATGAAAGCTGGTCTGCATGAATCAAAGAGACCTGTGCCACTATAATGATTCCTACGAGTTATTTTTGTGCTATGAAGACATCAGAGCAGCTAGAGGAAAAACCCCAGAAGCACACTCCATATCTCAGTCTGGAATAATAATCCACCTGAGCAAAGTACAGCTTCAGCAGCTGATCATGATTTAAAACCTGCCTTATATTCCTGAACTGATATGAAGTAGAGTTAATTTTTGATCAGAAAATCACAGTGATTCTGCCAATTTAAATGTTCATCAATGTGAAGACCTAAAAATTTTAAGCTCTCAGATGGGAATATACCTCGAACATTACTCATACCAGAATATTTCCTGAACAATCCAACTAGAATATTCCGAGATTGAATATTCCTACTGGAATATTCCTTGTAAATTATTTTGGAATATTGAATATGCACATTTGGTATATTCCTTGAAATTTCCAGGGATAACGAAATTTCGCATCCAAGTATATTACTTTTCATACCCTGGGGGTATTTTTCCCCCAACTTTTTTTATGCAATTCTCGTCAGTTTGACCAGGAAATATGGAAATATTATTTTCACCTAAAAATGATACTCTTGTTTAGTTAAATAGCACTCACCATTTACGAGAAAGTCTGCTGCGTAATACTTTTTCTTAATATAATATCCTTCAAATTATTCTTTTTATTGTTTTTCTCATATTTTGAGTGGAACATTACAAGTAGGTGTTGAAAAAATGGCATTTTTCTGTCAAAAAATAGTTTTTGGTAAAATTTTAGCACTTTTTTTGTTACGCAGCAGACTTTTTAAATCGATTTATCTCGAAAATGGTGAGTGCTATCGAAACTAAACAAGAGTATTATTTTTAAGTAAAAATGTGAATTTTTTCATATTGTCTGATCAAACTGCCGAAAATTGTATAGGAAAAAAAGTTGCGGTAAGGAATGCCCCTAGCCCCACCTATTTTCCACGCCCCTGATCAATATTTCGGATAATTCCTAACATTTCCAAATTTGGCATGGAGAGTTATATACATGTACAAAATTTTGTTACTCAACACAGGGGGTTAGGGAAATATTTACGAAAAATCTCGGGCTCGCTTTCAGATGCCTATTACGTGCTATTACTCCCCAGTGGACATTTCTGGGCTCATGCTTCTATACTTTTCTTAAATATTTCTGTTCCTAGAATCTGTGATTGAAATCTTTCCGGGACACCCTGTATATTCTAGGAATATTCGTTGGATATTCGGAATTTATTCCTTCTTTTTAGCATATTTAGAGAATATTCTGGGAATGTACAGAGTTGTCTGGGCAGGGAGATAGTTTTTCACGTTCTGGCCCTTTTTCCCTCCATAATTTTATTTGAAAATAAAAAGAATCCTGAAATGTATTCAACGCACTCTGTATAGTATACTACTATTCGACATTGCATCAAGGGTTTGGAACAATTTGTTTCAAATCTCCTATGGACCCTTTCGGTCTAGGTGCCCGCAGCCACTGTTTCGGTCTAGGTGCCCGCAGCGCGGAGGTATAGCTACGCCACTGGTACTATCGTCAATCAACTGCTCGATAAATAGTGAATAGAACCGTACCACAGTATAAATAACCTCTTACCGTACAGCAACTTTTTTCCCATATCCAAAAAACACCATAAAATGCGCAGAGCAGAGGCAGCAGAGGGTTGAGTTGAGCTCGTTCGTATCCTGTTTTCCACCAAGGCCGCATGCGCTGCACGAAGACGCGCCCCTCAGAAATAAACTTCGAGCGACGAGCAACAGCACCTGTTACATTTCGCCTTTCGCCCTTCCCTTCGTTGTTCGTTGTTCTGCGTTGGCGTTCGCTTTTGACAGTAATCGAAGCCGGGACCAGACCTGCGAAACGCTCCGATATAATTTTGCGTTTATCTTCATCGTTTCGCGAGTGATTGACTGAACCAAAATGTCCGAACAAGAGACCGTAGCCGTGCCGGCAGAAGAACAAAAGATCGAGGATGTCCAGAATGGCACCGCCGAAGAAAAGGAAGTCAAGGAAAACGGCTCGGGGGATGCAGAACCTGTTGCGGAAGTTGAAAAAGAAGCGCCTAAGGAAATGAGGGCCGTAGTTCTGACGGGTTTTGGTGGCCTGAAATCCGTGAAGATTCTGAAGAAGCCCGAACCGGCTGTCAATGAAGGGGAGGTTCTTATCCGAGTGAAAGCATGGTGAGTTGAACTGAAATTTCCTATTTGAACAAAAAAACTGCTTCATGAAAGTGAGGATATTTTTGAACGTGTGAATAGATGAACATACTAATTTTGGATCCCGAAATCATGTGGAGCAGATTATTTTGATACATAATTATGTTGTTTTGATTGCTTGTTGAATATTACATTCAAATGTGAATGAATCGGCTACTATCCGAATCAGAAACGTTATACCCTTTGATTATATTTTTAATCATTAAACATACATTTCTGAAGTAAATCGATGTAGACACCCATTACTAGCTCTGTCCTGGAAAGTAAAAACATATGTTCTTTTTTATCAAGATTGTAGGTAGGTAGTGTATTGCAAAAAATGTATAAAAAATTAACATTGTGGACAGATTCATAGAACGAAAAAGACGGTTAAATTCAAAGTTTTCAATGAATAATATGACGACTTTTCCATATGGTGGATTTTGGAAACACCGCCAATGGATTTTAAAAATATTTTCAAAATTGGGACTATTGAGAATCTACTCAGTTGCTGAAGGTAGATATTATATTTTTTGTATATTTCATAACAGTTCAACAAACATTGATGATTTGTGGAGAAATAATGATGACTTGGAAAAGTCCTTATATGCCTTCCTTCCTCTCTTCCTTTTATTTTTGCTACTTTTTGACGATTTGTCATTATTTTTCATTTTAAGTCAAGTATGCAGCATCTTTTTTATTTCTAATGAAATCAGTGATTATCTACGTTTTTCAAATCCTCACAGCCAATAAAAATAGTTATTTATTATACAAGGAAAAAAATTAGTAGATTTTTGCACCAGGTTGTGTCACGTTGTGTTGTTTCCCTACATGTAGCGGGATATATTTTTACGAGGTAAGTCCGTAAAGAGCATCTTTACAGGACGTTTATTCAAATTTCAAGACATCAAAGGGCGTTTCCAGAATGATTGCGTTATACTTGAGAAATTAAGTTTACCTACTCGGTTATCGAAAATGTCGGCGACCTTCAACTTTTTTGTAGATTCTTCCACGGGAAATGTTTTTCATAAATCTCTAATCATTCCATCACTAGCAGTAGCAGCAGTCTGACCTATACTCTACAAGCCCAGTCTCCCAGTCAGCGCTTCAATTTGTCGTCAATATCAAAATATGTCAAGCAACTCTTTACCAAAACTCGTATGTCTATAGAACAGCATAATCCGCAAAAGTTCAAGAACATTCCAATAACTATCTTCTCTCCCTAGCCTTCCCAAGTACGCACGATGTTCCTCGATAATCATAGGGATTCAATTTCGTGTGCATCCAAAAGAGATAAAAAAAAACATTGATCATAATCAAAAACTTGAATGCTGTTTGGGATAGCTATGCAGTGCGCACCATATGTAAGGGATACATTCATTTTCTACATAATTATCCATTTTCAAGAAAAACCCTGAAACACGTCAATTCATGTTTTTGAAAAGACACTCTGTGACATAAAAAAATCGCCCTCATTCACCCTTCTCGCTGTGACAACCAACCACCATTTTTTTAAATGAAATAGGGGGTTGAGTGATACCTCATTTTGAAGTGTATTCAATTGTCTATACAGCTATATCAATTTTATTTTTAACTCATTCCCTCATTCATTCGTCATGAAAAAAAAACTATTTTCAAAATGTTGAAAGGTATCAAGTCAACTATTGATTAGTATTGACTTTGCTGTATATTCCATGGACATTCATTTTTTCTGGTTTATTTACCAACTGTTGTTTGTTAGACGTGACAGTAGAGTAGAAAATTGTATGTCATTTTCGGTAATTTTACTAATTTTTGGACTTGCAGAAGAAAAACAGTTGTATAGACAATTGAATACACTTCAAAATGAGGTATTTTTTTACGTCACAAAGTATCTGTTCAAAAATTTGAATCGACGTATTCCAAGGTTTTTCTCGAAAATGGCTAGTAATGTTGAAAATGCATTTATCCGTTATACAGGGTGTCCCATAAGTAATGGACATATAACTAACGTTATATGTTAATATCGAATTGTTGATGGTTCAAAAGTTATTAAATTTTTCTGAAAAATGCGTCCCATTTGAAAAAAATTAATAACAAAAAGGCTGTTTTGAATCTGTATTAAATGCCAACTTTTTCTCATGATTGGTTATCTTTGTGGGGTAGCTTTTAAATCTGCCAGCGGCATTAAAAAATCGACTTAAATATTTCATTCGATGACAAAACTCAAGGAAAACAACATTTTTCTCAGGTAATTGAGAAAAAGTAATACATGTCATAAAATTATTTCTGGGGAAAGGTGCATCCATGTGGATGAAATGTGTGAAAGAAAAAATCATGAATGTGACATAGTTTTATTGTAATTAATTATTTTTATAGAAATGGAAAAACATTGATAATTTTGAACCATCAAAAATTGGATAACCACATATACGGTTAGTTGAACTTATTATTGAAAAATGTGTTGACGTCTTTGAACTTTATTCACGACTGATCTATAATATACATGGTTGGGCATATTTTTTGTGAAAACACTTTATTTCTGACTAAACCAGAAGTAATTTTTTTTCTATCAAGCCTACTATAATTCTGTCTCTACACAGTGGTTAATGTTGATTTTTGGTAGCTATCATAATAATGTAAATATGCCACACCACAAGAGCTGATTTCCTCAATACATCACACTTGGGGTTTAGCGGGAATGATTACAGAGATATAGGCTCGGATATAGGGTGTTCAAAATCGAGATTTTTCAACTTTGGGATTTTTTTGTGTCGAAACCTCGGTGGAAACTATTCATTATTGGTCAAAACGTGGACAGAACGGTTCACGTGTCCCTTCTTCTTTACTATCTACTGACATTTTATTGGAACAGATACAGGGTGATCTGAATCTTGATATTTTTGTTATTCATAAAATTGCGTAAGATTGTTAATAGTTTTAATTAAAGACCTACACAGAATTTCAATTACTAAAAATAACAATTTTTTCCTTTTAAAACAGGCAAGTTCAAACATCTAAAAAAATGCAGATTTAGTGTGGAGGTAGTAATTTTCAACAGGCCTTGTAGATTAAGTAACATTTACATGTATTTTTAGGCAATAAAATGTTTTAATTGTCTAAAATATTGTCCGCCTTGTAGCTCCTAAACGAAGCGGATTCTCAAAATATATCAAGCAACAAAATATTCTAAGAATATTCCAAAGAACAAGCCCGCCTGTTTAATATCTTGTAACGGATTTAAACAAACGCACCACCCGGTATATAAGAGTTGTGTGCAGTAAAGTGAAGAAATTATTTCTAATCCAAAATGTTTACCAAAAAAAAAGAAATAAGAACTAATTGATCATAAATATAGCATCAGGTACTGAAGTTCGATTATCCTAATATGAATTTACGATATACGAATATAGTACAATATTTTTCCTACTACCAAAAATGCTAATTATTTAATCAAAAATAGTTCAGTTTCCTTGAGTTAATGATTTATTAGGAATATGAATCTATTGTGTTCTTGGTTGTCACTCATTCTGCGAACTGTCAATTTGGACGCGTTAATTTCAATTTGAGAACAAAATTATCGACAAAAATTCCGATCACAAAATTATAGATTCAGATATAGAAATTGCGGCAAATGAAGCAATTCAAACTCCAATAGCTGCTATATTTATGATCAATTACTTCTTATTTATTTTTTCTTCGAGTGAAAAACTGGATATTGATACATTTTTTTCACTTTGCCGCACTAGTGCTGTAAAGTTTACCGACAGTTCGAATGAGTGACAACCGAGAACACGACACGACAAGTATGTATACGCCCAAACTTGCAACGCTTGCTTATTTTACAATAATTCCTCTAATAAATCGTTAACTCAAGGAATAATAACTATTTTTGATTAAATAATTTGCGTTTTTGGTAGTAGGTAAAATATTGTACTATATTTGTATCATAAATTCATATTACGATAATCGATGGGTTATCAAACTCGGCCTTTTCCGATCTCATATCGTAACATGAATATTTACGATACTCGTCGCGTGCGGTAAAGTATGAATTTCCGCACCGTCAAGTCAATAACTATTTCAATAATATATGATTCTTTTTGTTGCATGCAGTTAGCTATAAACAAATACGAGGAATAATAACATCTCAGAATAAAATTATACTGCTGCAGCAAACGTCCAAGTTAGGTAGTTCGGTGGGTAGGTACTCAAATAATTCATATTTAACGCCTTATATATAATATATGCATCATCAATAATGAAGTATTCGCTCTATCGCCACTGAATTTGAAATGGAATTTGATAAGTATTGCTATTGTTATCGGCTTGCACAATACCAATAACAAGGAATATACTTGAAATACCTACTATTAGGTTCGCTAAATTTTACTATATGTTATATTGAAATTATAGGTATTTTACGAGGTATTTTATGTAAACAGTGAGACGCTGAGAATGATAAATACTTTAGGCGCCACGGCTGTAGGTAATACACAGGGTGGCTCAATAATTTTTAGACAAACTATCTAATAGATATAATCGCACTCGTGTATTCTATTTTTATGAATATGGTATTCACTCTTTATTCACTACTAAAATCTGAACATGAAAATGGTAAATTCCGAGGTAAATTCAAGATTAATTAATGAAAACATCCTGTAACTCATCTGTTTGCCAACGTCACTATTTGTCACTGAGAAGTGTCAAAACTAATACCTGACGACAATTCGTGAGGAAAATGATTTCGATATTTTTTATTTTTATGTTGAAAACGGGAGCAGATTCATTCCCGAAACGTCCAAAATAAGTGAAAATTTGATATTTTTTCTACATACCTATATTTTGTTTCTCTTCTCTGAACCTTTTTCAAAACAAACTGTCACTGACAAGCAAATGCATTTTTCTTTTAGGATCTCAGATGGGAACATTTTTTAAACGCAGTGGGCAAACCATCACGTGTATATTGAAATAATATTCATATTCATGTTATATAGGAAGGATGA